CCCCGCTTGTTGGGAGAGCTTGAACGAGTCACGGAATTTCTTAGCCTCTGTTTCTTGCAAAACGAAGATCACACTTCCTTGCCTGCTGGCCTCATGGGGCCACATGGAGGCTCGGCCACCAGCATGAGGGGTAAAGTGCTCTGGGACCTTAAAATGCCACACAGTTGTCAGGGTCTGGTGCCTGATCTCTGCACTGCATTCTGGGATTTTCCTCAGTGCCTCACCTTCCACTTTACCACTTTTCTCTTTGGCCTTGTCAGATTCGCCTTTCAGCCCCTCCACAAGTGAATATATTCTGCATTTCTAGACATTCTATCTGGCTTTTTGTAAAAAAAAACTACTTGGTTTTTATTCATTATGCTAATGTTTTGTTCTTTTGCATTTTACCTCTTTAATTATTTGTAACATACTTTTTTATGGTCTCTTTCGGATGGCTCCTGGGTTACTAATACTTAAGTTTGAGTCTTCAGGCTCAATGTGGATGGAGCATTGTCTCGAGTTCTGTAACGTTTATGGAGAGGCCACCTTTAGGGGCTTGTTTTCCCTCTAAATACCTGTGTAGCCTGGGCCCTGGAAGTATTTCTACAGAGCACTTTGCTTTTGTCTGCCAAGTACTTCAGGAGGTACAGGTGTCCCAGGGCAGGTTTTCATATTGAGTGTCTTGGCACTACTGCTGTGGTAGTGTCAGCCCCGGGCCCTCCTTCTTTCAGGGGGCCTCCCTCCTCTGGCAACACACCCTGGCAGAGACAGGCTTCTTTGCCAGCTCCCTGGGCTGGCAGGTGGGGTTTTTCTAACCCTTCTTACCCCAAATGTAAACACTCCCCAGGCTTTATGCGGGCCCACGGTTCTGTCTGGTCCCTGCAGGACATTAAAACCCAAGCTCTGGCCTAAAAAGTCTCATTTCCCCTTCACCTGCCAGAGCTGCCAGCCGTCAGCGCTTGTGCTCACTGCTTTGGACTCAGTCTTCCCTGCATTTCTCATTCCTATGGATTTTCCTTTCTTAGGAACTTAGCCTGACATTTAAAAACATTTCAGTTATGTTTTAATCCAGTATGTCGGGGCCTTTTTAACAGGAAGAGTCCACATTAGCTTAATCTGCTGTTGGCCAGATGTGGAAGTCAGCAAAGGGTTTTCTGACAAAAGGAAAGTCCTCATTGTGCGTAAGGACAGAGGCTCAGAAAAGCAAAGTGACACGGCCAGGGTCTCACCAGAGCATGGGTTTTTTTGTTTGTTTGTTTTGGAACATGGTGACTATGGTTTTAACATCAAGGATGCACATGTGTTTTAGGACATCACCTTGAAGATCCAGTTTTTGAGGCTGCTCCAGAGTTTCAGCGACCACCACGAGTAAGTATGAGCTGCCCCTGGAAGGGGAGTTGTTGCGTGTGCTGTCTCCTCGCCCCTCGTTTCCCCATTGCTGACTTCTGCTCAGGAGCAGGACCGGGGAGCCGTGAGAGCTGCTTTCACCTTAGGTTACTGTATGTGGCTACACTTCCATGATACTGAAATAAGAGCTGCCATGACCAGCCCTTCCTTTATGCCAGGCACTACGCTGAGCTTCCCCTTAGCCCTCACAGCACCCCAGGAAGTGAGAATGGAAGTTGTTGGCCCTTAACCGTCTGTCCCTCTAAACCAGGCGTGGACAGCTTGGCTATTCACAGGGGCCAGCAGGAACCTCAGATGGGCAGAGTGAGCTGAGCATTTGCTTATTGAACAGATGGAATATTTTTTACTTGCACAAGGAGATGTGCTCTCTTCCATTTTTCTTGAAACATGTTTCTGCCCTCATTTTTATCTTTCAGCCTTCAATGGAAAATGTACAGGAGAGTGAGTCAGTGCTATAAAGAAAACAGTACCAGGGAGAGGGTGAATGGCAGCTGACCCTTGACCTTGACATTGGGGAGACAGTGCGATGGGGACCTTGGCGAGTGGGAACACACAGGCAGCCACTGCTCAGCACCTGCCAAATGTTGGTGTACAAGAAACTGGGCCCACTGTTGAATAGCTCCTGAGCTTTAACCCCAAGGAAAGCTAGAAATTAAGATTAATGTGAAAGGTCCTGGTTTTTAAACGTTGGTTTAAATTCTTTTCAAACATTATGTACACTAACAGAACGTGCCTGAGGACAAATATGGTCCCCAAGGTCTCCACTTTGCACCTTTCCTCTGGCTTGCGTTGACTGTCCTCTTTCAGAGCATCTGTCTGAAGGCCTTTGAGGGGCTCCAGGAAGTATGTAAACCCTCTGAAAAATGGCACCAGTGTATTCTGAATGTTGACTTTTTTTTCCCTGAGAAAGTCTCTAACTTTCATCAGACTCTGAAATCTGAGCACTGCTGTATGCCAGGCACAGTGCTAGGCTCTGGGGAGACAGTGATGAGTGAAAACAGGGTTTCTGCTCTCATGAAGGGTACAGTCCTGGAAGGAAGAGGGCAGTTAATCAGAGAAGGATGTCATTGAACGTGCACGGGAGGAAAGGAGCATGATCCTGTGAGAGAACACAGCGTCCTGGCCTGGCTGGAGGGGTGGTCAGGAACTCTTCCCTGCAGAAGTGACTTGTCAGCTGAAACCTGAAGAGTCAATAGTAGTAAACTGGGTGAAAAGGAAGAGTAAGAGGGTGAGTGTTCTAGCTAGNTTGGGTATTCATAGGCTATTTTAAGGGCTTTGGTGCTTGCGCTGAGTGAAATGGAAGTCATCCCTCTGGCTGCTGTGAGATGACATAACTAGGACCTGCATGGTGGTGGTGGAATGGTCAGAAGTGCTTGCCTTCTGGATCTATTTTGAAGGTCGAACAGGTAGCATTTGCTGATAGTTTGGATGCAGGCATGAGAGATGAGGATGACTTCCTTAACTCCTTCCAGGGTTTTTTGGCCTAAGCTGGTGGGAGGATGGATTTGCCGTTCACTGAGATGGTTAAGACCGGTGGGTAAGGAGTGGAGGAGCAGGCGTAGGGAGAAAGGTGAGGAGTTCAGTTTGAACAAGTTAGGTTTGAGATGTCTGTTAGAGTTGGCACCTGGATTGGCTGCACCTGGAATGAGGACAGAGGTCGGGACTGGAGGTATAACTTTGGGGTCATCAGCATATGCTGGTGTTTAAAACTCAGGATCTCACCGGGTGAGATCCACAGCACTGGGGCCTCTTCCTTCGATATGGAATACAATTGTTATAAAAAGTAATGTTGTAATGTCTTCCATGTGTGGAGTGCTTTTACTTTTTTGAGATACTTTCACAGTTATTCATATTTGAATTTCCAGGTATTTGGTAAGTTATACAACAGGTAGTGACTCCTCTCCCCCCTTCACTTGGTACTTGAGAAAACAAGGTACCAAAAGGGCCATGCTCTCAGTGACCAGGCATCAGCAGAGCCAGGCTCTAAACTCTGCTGCCTTCACTCTTCTGTCCCTTCACCATGACAGTTCCCTGCTTCTTGAGCCTTCCTGTGACCAAGTTTCTGGGAATCACTGTGGTCTTTAGTTTAGCTGTAATCACACCGCTGCTTCCTTGGGAAGGGATCGTCAGCTGGCTTCAGAATCCTGCCCAACTGAAAACCAGTGTTATGCTGGTTCATCCTCATGTGCACAGTCAGCATTTACTGAGCAGCATCCTACTGTGTGCCAGGCACTGTGGGCATATGGATTCAGAGACCCTGCCTAGACTATGACAGTAAGGGGAAAGGTTTTCTTGGCCAAGCTTCATGAAGGCACCTCCTTGGAGTGGCCTCATTATTATGCATTAGGGCCAAGTTCTGTGACCAGTCTTGGCTAAGTTGAAATCACTAGACTGGAAACACTCCCCAAATCCATAAATTCCATCCCTTTGATGCTAAGGAATATAATCGGCGTAGCAGCCATTTTTGTTTAACTCATCCTATAAGTCAGGCCCTGAGCTTCCCCCACATCACCTCATTGCGTCCTTTCAGCAGCTCCATCATCCCTCATTTCCCATCAAGGGACTCCGGCTCAAAGAAGAAGGTTGCCCAGAGCCACGGAGCTTTGTCAGCTTCTGGGCTCCTGCGATAAATGCATACGTGGGCTGGGAAGGGACAGGCTTAGGATCAGAACCCCTGAGTTAGGTGCCATCTCTGCCACTGCCTTGCCCAAGTCGGTCCTGCTGAACTGCCCCTTCCCCTTGTAAAATGGGAATTAATAAGCACTGGTGCTGTGCTCAGGTCTTGACATATATTTTCTGACTTTATCCATGCAACAGCCCTGAGACGTAATAACTTCGTTTAATGTTTCATAAGAAACTATTTTTAGTAGGTAAATAATTCACAAAGTCTTATGTTAAAAGGTAGTTCTGTATTGAAAGGTATAAACAACTATCATTGAAGCCTTTCTGCCTCTTACCCTGAACATTCTGGTTCTTCCATGAGCATCTAATTTTATCAGTTATTAATGTATCCTTTTAGAGACATTCTGTGGTTATAGCAATATATTCCTCTCATTTTTTAACACAGTCAGTAATAAAGCATGTACACACTTGCTCTCTTAATATTATACCTTGGTGAATGTTCAGTTTTACTACCTGTAAAAGACCTTGATTCTTTTTTTACTGGTGCTACATATCTCATTGAATGGATGTGCCATAATTTATACAACTATTCCCCATCAGTGGAAGTATATGCTATGTCCCTTTTTTTTTTTTTTTTGGTATTACAAATAGTGCTGCCATGAGTAGTTTTGTACATGTGCCATTTAGTATCCATACGGATCTGCCTGAGAATGAATTCCTAAAAGTAGAATTGCTGGTCAAAGGGAATATGCACTTGTTATTTTTAGAGGTATTGCATACTGTCTTCCCTGTCCAGGTAGTATCAATATGCCCTCCCATCAGCAGTGGTAGGAGCATGCGTGAGGCCCAGCCCACCAACACAGTATTATAAGACTTTCTTCTTCGCCAGTCTGAAAAAGTAAAAACTTAGTTGTGATTTGAATTTCTCTTCATATTATAGGTGACACTGAGCACTTTGCATATATTGAAGAACTTCCTATATTTTCCTGTCTGTATCTTTTCTATATCCTTTGCCCATTTTTATCTGTAGAATTGGTCTCTTCGTTTGAGATTTGTAGGATTCCTTATAGAGGAAATTAGCTTTTGCCTGTGTATAACACTAGATTATCAGTATGATCTCCATTTGTCATATTCGACTTGTGACTTTGCTTGTTATGTTTTGCCATGCAGAATTTTAAAACGTTTATGTGGTTGAAATCCACAGTCTTCTCTTGGCTTATAGGTGTGGTGTAATACTTTAGAAAGCAGCCTTTCTTCCTCTGATTATTCTTTTTTTAAAAAGCTTTTGCATAGATTTTTCTAGGACCTTTAAAGTTTTATTATATTTTTATCTTGCCTCCAACTGAAATTTACCCTACCATGAAGCATGAAGGGTATTTTTATTTTAATGCTATGCAGAGGGAGAGAATAAATTAGAAAGGTTAAGGAACTTGCTTAAGGTTACAAAGTTTGTACATGATGAAGCTAAGAGTCAAACCCGGGGCTATCTGAATGCAAAACTCTTAGTCTTAAAAGAGGAGCTACTGTTCACTATGA